TTATGCTTAGTGGAGTAAGACTGAGAATGCCTGTCTCTCAATTGATTAACGGTTCACCATCTTCAGTAGCACTTCAAGTTCGAAAGGCCGTCACAGATATGAATGAAAGTCGCATTCAATCCATAATTGATTGGGTTGAACAACAGCCAGATAAATCATTGGTTCAGGCATTAACTGAGTATGATGGTAAATATTTAGGGGGAACTAATTGGACAAAATTTCAAAAACATGATTTAATAGATTTTGGCGATGGAACTCCTATAAAACAGAGATGTAGGCGAGAAGGTGAAGTGGATGGGTTATACAGAATACTTGGTGCCGAGGATGGAATAGAAGTTTACCTTGGTTTGCAAAGTGAAAAATTGAAAATCCTCGAGCAAGATCCTGAATTTAAGAATTTTATTGTTCCGCAGCATAGCTTAGAATAATTGTTTCGGATTTTTTTACACTCTTATTAATCTATACAAATTTTTATTTTTTATTTTATAAAAAATACAATGAACTGTGCTTTTAAAATGCATTAAAATTTAAAAAAATTTGTATGTACTTTACCAGTTCGATTGATGGCGCGAATCTTATCATCATGATTACATTTAGATTTCTAACATTGTTGTTTTTATTGGTTATGATTACAATAATTGAATATTAAATTAATTCTGGTAAATTATGTTTAGATTTCTCTGTTGAAAATTAAAATTAACCGATCGGTGGCTTTATTTTCAGTTTAGCAAAATTTTAGCACCAGACGTCAATGATATTAAACAGTTTAAAACTTTTTTTTTTACCACCTATGTGTATAGTGTAAGGAGGTAGGGTCAGCTTTAGGGCATTCTCAAGAGCCTTAATCGATTGTTAACAAGTGTTGATGAATAGATGGAAAATATTTTAAATGATTATTATTTCAAAAATTGCAAAATGATACACATCCAAGAAAATGTAATCTTTACGAGTTCTAATTGGTTTGATCTGATTATTTGCAGCAGCATGTATGAAATTTGTAATTTTGCGGGTTGTTGTTCTATAGCTTATTGATTAAGCTCCAAAACCTCACAGAAAAGGCAACGACTCGAGTTTGACTGGAAACAATTTGTTTTTGTAACAAAATAGAGGCAATAATCAGAGGCGATACCCTGTAAAGCCCTATAAGAAAAGTGGTTTCGGGAATGTACGCTGCAAAATAACTCGAGTATTTTGTATGCCCGATCTGCTGAATAATATATAGTTATTTGGCAGTCCGATCATAGTAAGATATTAGATAACTATATATTATTGCATTTTATAATTATATTTGGATAAGTGGCTGCTTTTTTATTGAAGCATTTGTCATAACCAGTGTTGGAAATCTGTTTTGAGATTTGTGTTCTCATGAGAACATAAGATTTCCAACACTGGTCATAACCCATCATATTTCCTTTTTGCCAAAATTTTTATTGAATTTAGGTCATATAAAATCTTTAAATTAATTAACCTTTGATTCTATAATTATATATATGCATTGCTATTAGTAAAATTATTTTGAATTTAAGTATGTATGTATTGTACTAAAAATAATGTAAACTTTTGTGTTATCACTCAGATATTTTATTAGTTAAAACCTTATAATGTTTTTGTATATGCATGTTTTTAATTTGTCCTTACTTTCTGGTTAGAGATACAAGCGAATCATTCTAACAAGTTATAACAGTATTCGGCAAGGGTTACAGCAAAATTGTATAATTTCATTGTTATAAATATACTATAATGTCGCAACTATAATAAACATCATTTTTTAAAGTGAAGAAATTTTTTCAAAAATTATCATGGTGAATTTATTCATCCAATTAAATTTTTTAAATTTTTATATACTAGCCATCATGCCAATTGAAAAAAGATTTTAGATAGTAGCTAATATAATATAGTGATATTTTATTTGTATTATGAACTAAATTGGCTCTTGTGACTCTATATTACTACCATTTTTTTTGTTAGATCTAGTTCTCTTAGAGCTTTTTTGTTATTACAGGTACTCTAGAATTTGAGTTTTAGTTTCTGGATGAATAGTTCAATATCATAGAACTTTTATCGCATCACTTTTCAGCTGCTTAAATAAGGCATTCTTTTTTTTTATATTTACCAATAATCTATTTACTATAATTCATTGTCCTTTCAATTCAGATCTCACATGCATATTCCAAACTCCTCATGATCTATCATGAAGAATTCCTTATAATTATAATTAATAGATAGAAGCATGGATATGTACTACTTGTAGTATATTTGTTAAAACTTCTAAAAAATTTAATAAATTGTTTTTTAAAATGATTTTTATATAAAAAAATTTATCAAATACTATATAGTTTTATTATATTTAAAAATTTTTAATATTAATTAATAAAACAATTGGAAAAAAAAATTAAAATTATTTACAAAAAGTTACTACTGATAGTACATTTGCGACAGTAATTTTATTGCAAAATTACTATGAAATTTCTAATAAATTTTTTTTTTTCTAAAAAATTTGTATTAGGTTTTTTCATATAAAAAATTACAAATCACTCTCGTTATAGTGAATCACTGGTTATAGTGAACTAGTTTATATAGATATACTTTCGATATAGTGAATTTAATAATAGGCTTTAATATAAAGAATTCTCACAGCCCGATCACTACATTATAACGAGGGCAAAGATATAGTCAAAAAATATTTTAAGACTATTATTAATTATATAGATTACTCGTACCACCAGTAGTACAGCGCAGGGTTTAAAATTCAGATCGAAACTTACATGCACAAATGCAGTTGTCTTTAAATTATAAAATTACTATACCATATATATCTTTTGTTGATTTTTCCGGAATATTTCGGATATTTTCACAAAATTTAAGCTCGGCCATGTTCATATTTTATGTTCTTTCGTTTTCCTTTCGGAACTTTTCGGAATTCTTTACCTATCCCATATTTTATATTTTATATTTAGACTAAATTTTAGTGCAATAAATTTTTATAATTTCTCTTGCACATTATCTTTTGCGCAATCTCCTTATTCAATGTTAATTTCACACTTGTGCATATAAATTTTGGGCTTTTCTTGCACAAAAAAAAACAACTTGCACATGTGCATCTTATGCAAGCCAATTTTAAATCCTGGTACAGCGTGCTCATATCTATTAATAAAATGCAAGGGATACATTTTGACAATATTATCTAGATTAGTTGCCTTTGAAAATCAATAAATACTATACTCTTCCCTTTTTATTTCACTTTCATTTTGATAACAACAATTAATTTCACAACTTCCACCACAAGTAACTTTGTCATGAGTCCTTATTCTAAATGTCAATAATAAATTGCTATTTTATACCTTATACTAAAAGTTTTCATGGAAATAAAGAATATGAGGAAGCTCGAAAAAGTTTGCAGATACTTACTATCTTTTAGCCCCTGCTTATATGACAACAAAATTAGCTTTTCTATGGTGATTTCTTCATTTGGTACAGTATAATATCCGTTGCTTATCGGATGCTCTTTTTTTCCTTTATTAATTCTTAACACTGATATTTGATAATAGAAGAATGATAAGAACCGCTAAAGTATCAATTACAATCTTTTATTTTGATTAATTATATAAATTGAGCATTGTTAAAATCGTTAGTTAATCACGTCGAAGATAATGATCGAGAAAATTTCAATTATGTTAATATTTGCACATTCTACAAATATAGTTATAGCTAACACATTGAGGATTAGATTTGTGAACGCCCTTAATAAGTGGATTTTAGGAGGTTAAATAGAAGTTTCAAATTTTAAATTAATCCAATTTCATCAAAATCTGTCAATTACGTACGCTGCACAAATAATTTATTACGTATTTAATTTCTTATTGAAAGTGGTGCTACTTTGCATAAATTAGATTTATATTTTTAAATCTTCTGCTCGTTAGAGCAATTTTTCTCACAACTCCTATATTTATCAGAATTTTATTACGAAAATTAACGCGTCTAATTATTAGCCACAATTATTTAATATTCTTATATGTATTAATAAATCATAGGCAATTTAGCTTTGGGAAAATTTTCCTATATACTTTTATGACATCAGCTTTAGCGAGTCAAAAAAAAATAATAATAATGCAAGGATTTACAATACAGTAGAGATATTGCGATTATAGTACAATGTTCAAGGTGCTAATGAATTGTAAAAATTTAGAAACTTTTCATATCAAATATTCCGATATGATGATGCATTAAAGGCAAGCCTCAACGCTTATTACAACGACTAAAACTTGAACCAGTTTAAGATGAATCGTTATTACTAGAAACATTTAGATTAGATACTCCTAGAGCTTATTGGTAATTTACCAAAACTTCAATTTTCTCACGTTATTTTCATAGTTGAGATATTAAAAGGACCAAAAGTACGAGTTATCTAGTTTGATTTAGAGGATAATTAGCCAAGCCATTGATATTTTCTATGCACCTTTAAAAAATCTGTCAATTAGTCTCCTTGATAACAAGAAAAATATCAAAGCGATAATCGAGTTTTACATGCGAAACGGATATTTATGTGTTTGAATGATAATTTAGAAAGGATATTTTTGGCGTATGCGCGTTGTGTATCAAGTATTAGAAGTGGTCCAATAACATACACGAAAATGGCTAGTTAATCACATAAGAAGTCATTAAATAATGATTTGCGACCATTCACATCCTTTTGAAAATAACCAAAATAAATAATTCAAATGATTTATCTCATTTTCACATGAACAATTGATCAGTAAAAATGTAAAGGGTACTGTTGTAGACGATAATTTATAATAGGGGATGTAGTGTATCTCGTTCTCCTGCACCTATTAAGTTTAGCTCGACTTAAAGTTAGCGTTGGTTACAATTAAATATCGGGAAAATGACTACAATGAAACGACATTACAAAAGGTGAAATTTAAATTTTGTTATTTTTTTTTTTATTTATTTGTTATTTTAGTCATAGAATAAAATTGAATTCAAAAGTATTATATTCATTTTTAACCTTCAACTGATTCATCTATTGTAGTAATATTTCGTTCTGTATCGTAAACAATATTTCGTTCTGGTTTAATGTTTAAACACTTTTCAATCGCAGCAAGGCGTTCCAAAATGCTATCAGTAACATCCCTATCCCTCGAATCATATTTTCCCAAGTCATTAGATCTAATATTTTTAGGCGCAACTTTAATCATATTGTCGGGTGCCATTTTAAACCAATTATGGAGATGACAGAATACCTTTATAAAAAATTGATAGAATCAAGATTACGTTTGAATTAAATGATGCAGCCCAAATAAAACAAATAAAACCAATTATACTTACCAGTAAAGCCACCAGCTGCTGCAAGTGCACTGAAAACCGTGTATGAACTAAATAAATGTCAAAACCAAAAAAATTGTCACAATCGCATTCATAATAAGCGTTTAATAAAGCACTGTTTAAAATAATAATTCACCGTTGTTCAATAGTCTGTTCTTGAATAAAATTGCCAGCAGCTACAGAAAAGTAACCAGTTGTCCCATTTGGTACTCCTGATGGGTTAGTGTTAAAAGGAAAATAATGGGTATCACTTTCTAAAGAATAAGTAACATGATAATTTGGTGTCAACCCGATTATTGCACGAGCATCATTCGGAAGAATGGTCTTATAAGCAATTGTCCTAAATTTAACCTAAAAAGCAATAGAAAATAATTAACGAATAAATAAATAAATTATAAAAAAATCAATATAAAATCTCTACCAATGCAACATAATTGGCCATTCCAGCAACAAAATTCCATTGAAGCTGCAAATTTGACAAAATGGCCTTGTCCATATCACTTTTAACTTGTTTTGGATTTAGCAGTGGATTGAAATCTATTTGTTCATTTTCAAGTGTATAAATACGTATTGAAATCTGTAAACTGAAATCAAATATAATGGCTTACAGTATTTACTCACCAGGTGAAATCAGCTGTATAGAAAGAGATGCTATGCCGATATTGGTTGATTCTTCTATACTTATGTTTGGAATATTAAAATAAAAACCAATCTGTCTCAAATCATCTAATGAGCTATCAGTATTTGTATATTTGATGGTTTTGTTTGCCTTGAATGTATTGCAAGAACTTCGATGATCACCAAGATTGATTACTTCAGGAATAATATAGTCGCTGCAATTATTAATCCTAGTAATATTCCGATTAGCTTATTCGAAGTCACAACGCAAGATCAGAATATTTCCGGAATTCGAGCATATTTCTAAGTCTATAATGACGATTGTGAGGTTTACTAGGATTTTTTTTATTATAATCTGTTGATAATGGAACTTACCGGGAACATCTATTTCATCAACTATAATATATCCGGTTGATTCAATTGGAATATCTGTTATAATCTTATAAATAAGATATACTAAATATAATAAAAATACAATAACAAGTATTGCAAATATGAAGTATTTCAATCCGTAAAAGAAAGGTGCATCACGTAATCGATCTAAAAGTTTTTTAATATTTGATAATGCACTGCAACAGAAAACTGGTTGTTTTCTTTTTTGTTCATTTGACTTTTAATAAAAAAAGGAAGATGAGAGCATAATTGTATTAGTGTTTGTTTGTTGTATGATTGTCGAAATACTAACGAAGTACTTGATAATTGTTTCTGTATATATTGTTATCTGACTAAATTGATGAACTTACGTCGCCTGCCATCGAATTTAATAAACTCTTAAAGTACGGACATAGCAGTTAGACGTACGTACTGTACATTATATGTGCATATGCAGTACATATCTGCCTCTGGACAAAAATGCTCAATTTATAACAAATTTAGAATCAATCTGATGTACAGTGCAAGAAATCCAAAAATCATAGAGTTATTTCTTTAATTATAAGCATCAATAAATTGTGTACATAAATACTTTATTGAAGTCGATAATTTAAGAAATATTGATTTCAATATGCTGCTTGATTATACACCGGGCAGACCATCTCTCCATAGTTAATATTATGTATAATTGTATAATTTAGTTATAATTAAGTAGCACATTTGAATCAAATATTTTTTAAATTATCGACTTCAATAAAGTATTTATTTACACACTTTATTGATGTCAATAATTTAGGAAATAATTGTTTATACTTGTCTCTATAAGGAAATTGTGGGTTTGTATGCACCAGGAATGATGATATGATAATCAGCACTTACGTATCTAAAAATATTTTATTGATTAACGTTAACGTTAATGTTTTATGTCGCATCTCGAAGTAACAGAGTTGCTACTTTAGATATCAAAATATCACTTGACTAAAATTAAGCTCATTAAATTAGATCTTCATGCATGTAATTTTGGTCAGGTGCCACTTTAGATATCTAAAATAGCAACTCCAAATACGTAGATGGCTACTTCAGATGTGATAATACTTATTATGAAAAAAGTCATGTAACGTTGAAGCTAATTATCTCATGTTGATACATTTTGTATTCAGTGTCTAAATTAATGTATATGAATCGCATATTAAACAAAACATGCATCGCACAAATGCAGCGACTATGCGAAATGCAAATTTAGCAAACTAAGGAAATAGTACGTACGTACAGTACATACAACATACTGTTGGCTGTAGAGCTGTAGCCAACGCACCAATTTTGTCACGACAGATTCTCGATTTTTATTGGCTAGACAACGATCAAAAATTTAAATCAGGAGCCGTCCATTAAGAATAATATTCCTAGGCATATAGGTGAAAATTTTTGATTTGATAATTATTAAAAGTTAGGTAAATGATAACATTTCATAAAACTTATCCAATCATCTGATATTGCGTAATTCAGAGATTAAAATATAACCCATTTATGAAACCCTTATCGAACCTCAAAAAAAAAAAAAAGTGAGATTAATTGTATAATTTGATTATATACTTATTATTGCATTAATATTTGGAATGGCAACCTACACGCGTGTTATTATTGTCTTGATTAGGGTATTATTATTAACTTATTAATACGTAATCCTATTATATAATTTTGATGATCAAAATAATCGATTAAAATTTTCGCTCATATGCTAATTATACTATAGAGCAGGTCTACATTCCAAAATTATGATGAATTAAAAAGTTATTCCGGCCGAAAACAACATAAGCAATCATGAAACGTGGGCCAAAATTTTGCGGATCACATTCATTTTGACAGAAAAAAAATTGATGTTAAATTTGGTAATTAATTTGGCGCAGATTTCATCGTGCAAAAATCCTATTATAAAAAACCATTACACAAGAAACAACTTTTTTTTTCTTAGAAAAAAAGCTTCTTGCAAAATTTTAACTTAAACGCATTATTCGATCTATTTATCTAGGAGTTTAGAATTATAATTTAATATGGTGCGTGCGATATGTTAATAATGAGTCTGGGTCAAAATGCTGATACTTTACAGAAACCTATGTTTTTTGCTAAATATGTTTAAAATATAAATATTGTATATTTACCATATTATTATAAT